AGGCTTTCAGGGTATCCTTGAAGTGCTTTTTGGTGCCATCTTGCGTCCTCTTGCCAGTTTTCGACTCGCCAAAGAAGACTTGTTTTGGCAGTCTCCTGCAGGGCATTCTGGTGAGAGTCTATCTGAGCAGGGTGGGGATGCTTTCAATAGTGGTCTTACTGAGGACTTAAGTGTCAGGGATTCTGTCCTACCACATGATCCACAGCAGCTTCTACAGACAGCTCATGGCTTAGTAGGGTAAACACAGGTGATACTAATTACAGTTCAGTTCCATTTAGTGTAGCAGAGCCAACCTGAATGGAACAGAACCTTAGTTAGTATGATTGGTAACACCTGTGTTTACCCGACTGTTTCATGTCAAAAAGGCCGCTCAAAATCAAGTCACTGTATATGTGAGGTACAGGCCAGGGGATGTGTTTTGAGATGTAACTTGTACTTACATAAGATATTATAGAGCTTCCATTATGAAAATGCCTGTTACTTCCAACCAGACTTCCCAGAGCTCATTTTCTGACACCACATTTTCCAACCAACTGTTTTATACCAACCCAAGTTGGTATAAAACAGAAACAGGGCAAATTTGAAAAGCTGAAAACAGATGATTGTTTGGCATTTTGGATTAATCAAATATCCAAACCTCAGCAGTGGTCCTCTCTCCATTGTCCAGCACGTCAAGTTCAAATTCTCCATAATTTTCTGCTGCTGAGTCATCCTGCAGGCTGCTGTGTCCATCCTTTACCCAGACCATCACAGTCCTTTAAGGTGTCTGCAGAGACATCCAGATGGACAAGACCCTGCAGCAAGTACAAGCATCTCTTTACAATAAGTTCACCAACTCATATCCCTGTTAATGCAAGGTGCGTTCAAGTTCACAGTCTCCCTGAAGTTAATCGTCTGAACCACCGGTGTCACTTTTTGGATAAAAAGAGCTTAAACTTGACCTCCACTCAGAACCGGATTAAGGACTTTAGATCAGGCCACGCAGTATCCCTGGCTAGCCATGAGGGCCGTCTGGCTCTCCCTCCGTTTGTCCTTCTTCTTCCTCAGTCGGACTCTCCAGCAGACGGCGCTGGAGCCCAGCAGGCCCAGTCCAGCAGACAGCAGCACCAGACCCAGCACCGAGATGGTGGACCCATGGGAGTTGAAGGTGTATGCCACCGCTGTCACCACGATGCCGGCTATGAGGACGACCACGCCGAATGGCACGGTGCAGCGATAGCAGGACATCTCGGCGCCGCCGGTGGCCGCTGTCAGCTGGACCTCGTTGATGTGCGGGACGTGCGTTGTCACGACGACGCTGTGGTCCTTCCTGGGCTTGTCCCGGCTCAGCTTCTCAGTGGACAGCGATGTCGGCATCCTCATGGCACTCCTTGGGATCCTGGCACCGCCTTTGGTGTGGAAATCGTCGGGCATGGTGATTTTACTGGCAAGGAAAAGGTGGGCCATCTTGATAGTGATGGGAGCAATCAGCCAATCACAGAACAGCTAGCTGGAAACAAACAAACAAAGAGGTGAAAATATTAGATAATCATCACAGCTACGGTGACCTGTAAATTACAAATATTTTCCAATAAATTCTCTAATAAAGGTAATAGATCATCATTTAAGCTACTTTAGACAAAACTTTAGTGTAAAAACTGAGTAATTTTAAAAAAGATTGAAAACCAGTTAATCTGCCATAAAGGCTGGGCAATGTTACAACCTGCACAAAAATGATTACTTTTTGTCAAAAAGTAACGTGGATGACGGCTAGCTACACTAAAACAGCAGGAGTAGATGAGTTTAAAGGTTAGATTTAGAGCAAATAACTGTTATCTGTGTAAGGATATAGTGTAGTCACTTACATGTGGACCTTAAATGTTTTTATCATCCACGTCGATGAATTAAGGATTTATTTCCTCCAAACCAGAGTTTGTGATTGTTGTAACAGTGGACACAATAAAAGAAACATCTGACTTCATATTCAATCTGCAAAGATTAGTTGATTAATTATCATTTATGTAACAACACGTTCTCACAACCAGGACCTGCCCTGATACTAACGGAGAGAGGTTAGTTAAGGTGGATTTGTTCTTCACTACATGAAAACTGCCTAAAAAGAATTTAATGAGATTTTCAAGAAGATTTATCTATTGTGAATAAAACAAGGCTTTATTTTTACTAGAATAATTATAATCACTCTCTGCAACTGGAGCCGCCCTGTTTTGTTTGGGGTTTGTGATGACAGTCCGCCTTAAACAGGCTGACTGAGAGAACAACTTCAAAAATACTACCTTTAGATAGAAAGATAGATAGATATACTTCATTGATCCCAAGCTGGGAAATTGCAGGTTGGTTACACACAAAGGCAGGATTCCTTAACTTTTACCTTAAAAACCCTGAAATTTTAAGGTGGAATGTGAATGACATGAATCACTTTAAGGAGTAAAACCGCTTCATTTTAACTTTTCAACGGTCAGCTTTTTACATTTTTGGCATTTTTAAAGGATATTTGGTGTCACAGCTTTCAGTTACAACTTATTTTATTTCTGTTACTTTTTCATTATGAATGGGCTCAATTATATACATAAAACCATGTTCACACAACATTTCAAACTGACAGTTACAAGTACATATTATGGCCTGTTTTTGGCCGTAAAAGAAGGTTTTCTGCTTTGAACGTGTTGACAAAAGCAGCTCTTTTTTTCTCAGTGTAACATCACCATCGATATATCATCATTTAGACAAATGAACATAATAATGTAGAATTTCACAAAGTCTTTGACTCCCTTACTGTGAAAATAAAATAAAATCATAACTAGTGGAAAATAATGATTCTGTGCACTGATGATACATTTGAATGCCTACCCTTTAATATCTTAATGCCTCACATTGTTCTTAATTTGCAGGATTTAAATGAAGAGCAGCTGTTTAAAAGTCAGTTATTCACATTTGTCCTTCATCTGAAAATGTAAGTTTCAGGAGGTTTTTAAGATTCCCTTCGTTGCTCTGAGATCAACAGTCTGCACTGATGTGAGGGAGAAAAGACTGCAGAGCTGCTGTTAACACACACACACACACTAACAACCTGACTGTTATCACTGCAGGTTGATAAGCTTCATTGATGCAGCAGAACACCTGCTTTCTATCCTGGAAAAGATTAGAAACACTTACTGTGGCAGCGTGCAGCTCTCCATTCTTTGTGTTTTTCAACTCAAACAGTCATATTTTCATTTGTCGGCGTGGAGGCTCTACAGGTCGTCTCTCTCTGCGCGCAGCACTCTGCATCGTTCTGACTGCAGGAATAAATGGGGGGAATATGGCTATCAATAGAAGAAAACAGGGGGGACTGCCCTCCCCCACGCCTCCTCTCCCCTCCTCCCTCCTCC